TTCAGATCGGGGTCTGCCAACGCGATTCTTGCGCCTTAAGCACTGAGCTACGCGGGGATCATACAGCCCGTGATCCCGTGCTGTGCGGTGATCATACGGTACGTAGCGCTTCACGCACCAGGAACGCGGGCATCACCCCGGTCGTGAAATGAAAGCGCTACCCCGGAAAGCGTTTGCATCGTTCCTTCGGCTGAGTACACTAACCCTGAGTACGTAAAGACTGCAACGGCCGGCTGGGCTCCGTTGCTTTTCTTCCAGTTTTGTTTTAGGAGGAGTTGAGGAAAAAAATGTGGATTTACGTTTTTCACCTTGTGGATCATGGGGAGCTGGGCTTGCTGGCATCACCTCTGCAGGGATTTCTCCCTGAAATGGCCAACAGGAAGGGATTTTTTGACGCTTGGCCGTTTGCGTCCCGTTTTCTCCCTGCCTCAGCAGATGGCAGCAATGGCCTTTGGCTGACGGGGACCCGCGGTGTGTACGTGCGGTATCATTTACGGATTCGCTTTCCAAGATTGATCGTTCACCAAAAGAAGGTTTCGGTTGAATGATAATTACTTTGGATCCTCTTAATTATTTCTAAAACAATGCAAAGAAACTCCAGAATAGTTTGGTTTATTTGACTGGAAAACCTGAAAAAATTTACAGCTCACATCTTACTGAATATCTGAATAGATATTTAAATATCCCAAAACAAACAACACTCTACAATTGACAATGAGTGCAACCCTGCCTGCAAAATAGGCTGAACTCTTTTTATTTGTAAGCAAAGTATATTTTGGGGAGGAAACGACCCCCTTTGAGACATTTGTTCTCAGCTGATGTAGCGAGCATCTGTCACATCAGAAGGCTCTTCAGTGAACTTGCTGAAGAAGTCTCTCCCATTATGAAGTGCAATGCCCTTGTTCTCTGGCAGTGCTCTACTGTATTTACACGTTTTACATGATGTTACTGATTATTACATTGTTTCTTAGCCTCATATCTTTTCATTACTTAGTCTGAGTTAAAGGTTTGTCCTTTTCTCTGTATTCACGCAGATTGATGTCATCAGTGTGATTATAGTTTAGTATTTATCCAAGTACATGTGTATAGGATGTGGCCTATATTATGTTTTCAAATATAGGCTCAAGGATTTTTTTTTTTTAAGTAACTAGGCCTCAATTTATGCATATTGTCCAAAGGAGGGTATTCTTACCATTTGGCAATGACTTACAACTTTGATTTAGGGAAAACTGATGGTAAATTGATCTGGGCACACAATTTGTATTTGCCAATAGTCTCTAGACTGACAGATCTGATGCCGTCTGATATCTGAAGCAGTATCTCCACATTTTCTGCCCTTGATGCCATTACTTCTACCTAAAAAGTCAGACAAAGGTCCCTACACTAAGGATTTTGTGGTGCCCCAAGATGTGAATTAATCTAGTGTTCTTTTCAGAAACACATCCATACGGACTGAAATGTCACGAGTGTGAATAGCTTGCTCAGACTCAGGAGCCTGGGTACTGAAAGCTCTTATTCTTTGTGCAGAAATATCCTAATGGGCAGCCATGGTGGGCAACACAATGCAGAAGAAACGTAACAGGATAAGGTGGTTTGCCCATGTTGTGCCCGGTTTTCAGCATTTCAGCACTGGACCTGGGCTAACCATCCCTTTGAAACACAGAAGTCGTGCTAGTACACAATCCGCTAGTAAGAGCCACCTTTAAGAAAACTGGAAAGCAGAAAAGGTCAGTTGATTCCAAAATAAATATTGCATGCTTTAATTTTTTTGATAATCAAGACTTAAAAAAACCAAACAAGTTAAAGAATGAAGATGTTCAGAAAGTTGCCACCAGTCGCCACTTTACTACTATGGCTGTGGAACTTGCGGTCTCCGCAGACTGAAGGAGTGCTTTGGTGTAGACATTGAGCTGGGACTCTGGTCGTCTCCCGTGCCACAGGCTTGCTGTGTGACACAAACCAGTCATTCAAACTCTCCATATTAA